TCTTGACTGCCTGAACATGCACTGTCATGAAAATTACAGGTGAAGTGGTAATTGTGTTTCAAGGGAGTTGAGATCACACAGCCATGACCCATATCTTGGGGCCTGGCCACCTCCCTTTGCCAGAAGAAGGAGATTTCATGACTCACCTCAGACTGCTGCTTGTGAAGCTGGTAGGTGCTGGTGAGTATTTTCTTTACTCGCTGCTCTAGTCCGTGAAATAGAGGCTGTGAGAGAACAAGTTGATTCAGGGTCTGTGTCTGAGTTCTCACGGCTGGAAAAGTGATTCACCTGGGGTGATAGAGACACACAGGGAGGGGGGATGGTTCCCGAGGCCCAGGCTGAGCCGTGGACAGAGACCAGAGCTCTGAGACCCCTCAGCAACCTCTAACTGCTCCCCCTGTGCATTCATATAACCAGCAGCAAAGACGGTTGTGACAGTTGCTCCAAGCAGTAATGTCATCTCATTTAGAAGACCGCTAGGATTCCAATCCAGAAATCAGCCTGCTGTTCAGATCGCTGTGAAGAAACCACAGAGACGCTGACATCATTTTCATCACTGCTTCAGTAAAAGTTCTCATTTGTGAGAATGAGTGTGATGGAGGAAGCTGAACCAGCATTTTCCTGCACAAGGAATGTGTTCAGATGACAATTTCTGTTTTATAATGATTTTTCTCTCACTGCAGTTGAGGTAATGAATGGAGATGGTTTCAAAATCTTTCTGAAAATATTTGTAGTCTGTTGGCCATGTTGGACAATGTTTCTTTTGTCATTGGGGAAAGAGGTTTCCATAAAAAGTTAACATCATAGTTGAGTGAGTTAAACCACAGAGAAATTAAGAAGGCCAAGTTGTTTCTGACTCAAATGTGTCTTGTAACCTTTGTCAGGTGTAAAAACTGTAGTGTCATTTTGTGACTCCATGTCATTATGGGCCATCACCATGCATGTGCTATGAAGACTCAATATTCCATTTGTCATATAGATCATACATCATCATAATTCTTTATTTATTTATTTTTTTGGTACTGGGAATCGAAGTTATGAGCTCAGTCTTGCCAGGCAAGCACTTATGCCACTGAGCTATAACCCTGGCATCATCATAATTCTCCAAAGACATTGGACTTCTTCATTTTCTAAATTCAGAAAAAAGAGAAAATTATCTTATGAACATTAATTCAGTTTCTATGACTGAAATTTCACATCCACAGCATTATTTTAGAGAATAAAAATATTATATATAATTTCTCTTAAATAATATTGGTGAAAATTCTGTTGCTGTCATAACATTGATCCATGTTTATTAAACCTAAATAGATTATAAGAGATTACTTAGTCCATCATTAATTTTAAGGGTTTGTGAATATTCCCTTAGGAGTGATTCTGTGTTATAAATAATACATTCAGACAAAATAGGGATTAGCACAGTCCAACATTTGCATAAAGATATTTCAAATATGACAAATTATATATATGGCTTCTAAAATCACCACTGCTCTTACTCTTTGATAATACAGGACAGAAATAAAAACAATATTACTGAAGCCTAGCTGACACATCCAAATATCTTCCTGGCATTTAGATGAATCACCTTCTGTATTAAACATACTTTTTCTTAAAGTTAGATATTATTAGGTCCTAGCACAGCATATTGTGGCCCTAAATA